CCACACGGTTTGGGAACCCCTCCAGGGATGGCGACTCCCCCATTGCCCTGGGCACCCCCTCCCAGTGCTCAACCACTCTTTGACCATAGAAATTAACCCCCAGAGTGAGCTCCCCCAGGACTTAGATGGAGAATTACCTTCCTCATCTCCTGCAGCAGCTGTGCCTGGAAGTGGTTCTTCAGGCTGCCCATCTCCTCCTGCAGATCCTGTATCCGGGGATCCGGCTTCTTGCTCTCCTCCTGCACAGCTTGCAGCTCTCTCTTCAGGTCTTCCACCTCCTGGCTCAGCTGCCTGATCTGCAGCTCGTAGCCCTCGGCACGATCGGCCATGGTCGCTCTCCCGGCCAACGCTTCCCTGGTCTCCTCCAGCTTCAGCTCCGCGTCCTGGCGCAGAGTCCTCTCGCTCTGCAGCAGCTTCTGCAGCTCGCGCAGCATCACGGCGTGGTCGCCCTGCTCCTGGGCTCGGTCGTGCTGCTGTGTGATCAGACGGGCTTTGGTCTCGGCGAGCTGCTCCTGGACGGATTTCAGCTCTGCCTCCAGCTTCTCGCTCTCGCTTTCCGCTTTCTTAACGGCATCGTCCAGGTCCTGCTTCATCTTCTTCTTGTCCGCTTGGTAGGAGGCTTCCATGCGGGACTTCTCCTGCGTGACGGTTGCCAAAGCACTGGTCAAGGTGGCCAGTTGGGTTTTGAGCTGGAGCAGCCTTTTATCAGCCTCGCCAGCAGTCGACGCCACCTCCCCGCTGCTCGTGCTGACGCCGCTCTCGGAACTGCTGGTCTCCTCTGATTTAAGAGAGGATGTGGCTGCTGCAGGTTTGTCATCGTCCGGCCCCGTTTCACCTTTGGTACTGGCCAGGCTGGCAGCGGTGTCTGCACTGGTAGCCGTCCCCACGCTGTCTTCGCTGTGAACCGAGCTCCGGTCGTCGGCACAATCGGCAAAGGAAGAGCCCGAGCTGACCACAGCCCCACTCAAGCCCAAATCTGCCTCATGAGACACGGACAACACCTTCAAGCTGGCTTCCAAGGCTTCCTTCTCTTTCAGCAGGCTCTTGTAGGCTCTGACGACGTCCTTCAGCCTGGCCTGGTACTGGAGGAGCTGCTTTTTCTGCGATTCAATGGTCTCTAGAAGATCTTTTTTACTGGGGCCGCCTCCAAAGTTCATGCCAAACTTCTCCATGGTTCACGCAATCTGAAAGGAGAAAAACAGCACAAAAGGTAAAAACGAGCAGCAAAGTCACATTTGCAATGGGCAGGAGCACACAGCTATGGGGAGAATGGATGAGAGCAGCACTGGGGAGAAGGACTTGGGGTGTTGCTTGAGGAGAAGCTCAACATGAGGCAGCAATGGGTGCTCACAACCCTGTCCTGGGCTGCATCCCCACAGCGTGGCCAGCAGGGCCAGGGGGGAATCCTGCCCCTCTGCTCTGCTCTGGTCAGACCCCCCTGCAGGGCTGTGTCCAGCTCTGGCCCCACCAGCAGACCAGCGGAGCCCATGGAGCTGTTGGGGTCCAGAGGAGGCCACGGAGATGCTGAGGGGCTGGAGCAGCTCTGCTGTGGGGACAGCTGAGAGAGTTGGGGGTGTTCAGCCTGGAGAAGAGGAGAGGAGAGAAGACAAGACAAGACAAGACAACAGAAGAGAAGACAACGGAAGAGAAGAGGAAGAGAAGAGGAAGAGAA